TTATTTACACTCCAGGTAGCTGTAGATCCTAGCCAAACACCAGCACTTGGTACATTTTAGTCTTAAAACAAATGGAAAAGGAGAGCAGTATAACTTGGAGGCCTGGAGTTTTTTTTTTTTTTTTTTTTTTTCTTATTCCCAGCCAGCCACTTTAGTCAAGGTAGAAATGGCACCAATGTAAGGAAAAATGGCCAAGACTCAAGTGCTCAGATAAGCTCTCACTTCTTGTTTCTTCCCTCCTTAACTTGTTGGACGGCCTGCCAGTGTCTGCAGCCAGCTAACAGCACAGTGCTGGGAACTTCAAGGCCCCAAACAGGTGTCCGCTCTCTGCCCAGTCAGCAGAGCTGAGCTGGGAACACAAAGGGCTCAAAGAGACCAGCCAGCATGGCTACAGTCTTAAATATCCCCAGGCCACTATAGACACTCCTACATTTCTCAGCAGCATTGACTCATGAGTGTGTGCTCTTTCTGCTACTGTAACACTGAGTCTCAAACGGTTATGAATCCCGGGGTTTGCCCTAAACGGGGGTGAGAGTGGCAGGAATGATGGAGGCCATCATGAGTTCAGATAGATGATTGAGTCTAGTGGGAAACTGTTCCTTATGGAATGTGCCCAAAGGAGATTTTTTTTTTTTAATCTCCAAGCATAAACACAGAAAATATTGTCCGCCTGGGCTCTTTGTCAGGTCTTCAGTGTTTCTGCTGTGATCATCTTGAGATTTTCACCCTGCACTCAGATCTCATGGACTTGTGTGGTATTTAAAAAGTCCAGCTTGCCTTGGGGGGCCCTTCCTTATGGCTAAGCTGTCCTGGCATTTAGGCTGGCAAGGCAGCAAAAGAACCGAAGGGGGATCGAGGGGGAGGTAAAGCCTTTCTCTCTATTCATTGTCGACTACTCCTCAGTGATGACGCGGATGTGAGGCAGGGTGGAATGGAGTCGAGTGGAGGCTCCCCTCATCTTCTGCAAACAATGGATGCTTGTGTGTTTGACACCCCCCGTTTAGCAGAATGGAGTCCATGGTCGAGCCTGAAGCTGGGATGGAATTCCAGCTCTAGCAGATTTTGTTTGTGAAATTTCTGAAGGGTGGAAGGTTCAGTGTTGGTAAAGGTCGTGGCCTATAGACCTTGTTGTTCTCATTTAGAAATGGATCAATAATCAATTATAATTTCCCTTCTTTGTCTCGTATTGGATTGAGCCTGACTGATTTTACGTACTGCCATACCATATGATACATCTCTCCCCCCCCAAACTGCTGTGGGACGGACTACTAACCTAAATTTGAGCTTAATGAGCCACAGTAGGGGCACCAGGTCATTAAAAAGCAATCAACAATGATTTATTTGTTGTGTTCTTTAATTTATTCAGTAAATTTGAATGAGAAATTTTTTTTTTAGTACAAGTATGTTAGCTAAATACCATACAGTGTTTGTTGTATTTGTAGATGCTAGAATTTAGTTGATAATATTCTAATCCCTGGTTATTTGGTAACCCTTCACCTGCCAGTATCAATTATAGCTGATTTTATTTTTCTTTTAGAACTATAATAAAATAAAAGAACATAATTTGAATGTTTATTTTAAAATGAGCTTTTAAAAGCAGCAATAAGACTTAATTTGGGGACTATCGACAGAAAGTAGCTTTTAAAACGGACATAGTAACAAAGGTGCAAACTGGTGGTGACTGTTTTTTTTTTTTTTTTTGCACTGATGTTTATTAGTGGGAGCAAAATTGATTACTATCTCATGTCTGATTAATGTAACTAGTATTACAAGAACATATGGCTTGATGCAAAAATACAGGTTATATTTCCTAAATATTAAACTTTTCTAAATCCAGCATGATCCATGACTGACTTCAATGAAACAACTTTGTAGTTTTCCTTCCTGTCATCCGCTGAAACCATACACTCTCACAGCCTGAATGAATTGGAGACGCATCTGAACATTCAGCCGTTGTCCATTATTCTTGCAGTTTTGTTGGGTGCCTGTCTGAAGTGGTCCTCTGGCGTGAGATGGGGCATGTTGCCAGCCAATCACATGGCAGCACAAAACAACCAACCAAGCATGCACACCTCCACTCTTAAGGACAGATTAGAGAGACCAATTCCTGTCACCTTTTTCATTTTACTGGAGTACCTGGAGAGTCTAACTATTGGGCAGCCAGTAGTCATGGGTAATGAGTCAGTTTCTTGCTTCATCACATTTGTTTGGCGACTGGTCCAACCATTTTGCAGTTTTCTCGCTGGTACTTTGCATTCTTTCAATTGTGTGGTGATATAAAACCAGAATAACCTGCTTGGTGCAGGATCGCATTGCTTACTCAGAGGGGAAGTGTGCACAGAGCTTGAAACTTGCCCTTTGCTGATTGCTGCCAGTAAAACCTTCTTTCATGAGACACCGGATGCACATGGCTCCCTAAAGGCCGACATCCTGTGTTTAAATGAGACACTAACCAGGGTACGAGGCTTTAACACAGCAGCTCTCACATGACTGGATCAGCAGAAAGGAAGCACGTAAGCTTTACAATTGAATTATGTCATTTAATCACCCTCCCAGCTGAAGCCTTTTCAGCGTCAACAATAATTGAGTAAAAGGAGCTAATCGGTCTTCTGCGTGAGTCACAATGAATTGAGCTGAGTGTAGTGAAAACTGACCTTTGGGATAATTTTGGGTTCTCTGCCTTGCTTTTCTCAAACTGCAATAAATCTGGCCACATTTAGAGACAGGACTTAGAACAGATTTAGAGATTTTATTGCAATATTTTAAAAATGTTTTAAAGCTGCTTCTTTTTTTTGAACCAAAGATTTTATTTGAAACTTCTGATTAGAAACTAGTGGTGTCCCAATACAAGTGTCAAGTACTTGCACTTGTAAAAGCAAGCCGATACTACAAACCGATACCACTTTTCTGCTGGATTTTTCTCGAGGGCTGGGTTGCGGTGCAACTCGAAGGATAAGCCACACTTCATACTAGGTGGTGGTAACACACCAATAAGTTATTTGTTGATCCTCCAAAAAAAAAAAAAAAAAAGTCTGTACTTTGGAGATATTTCAAGGTAAACACAGAGGATACTAAACAAGCAGACTGCCTTCTGTGCTCAGCTGAGTGGTCGAGAGGAGGGGGGTAAACTGAGCTTGGATCAGGCCTGCAAAGTCCAACCCACTAAGTAACGTTCGTTAAAGGCGCAATCCCGAAATAAACCCAACATATTATTTTAATTCAGCAAATGTACAGCTTTTTTACCACCATTAGAGTAAGCAGTGCAACTTATCCCATTTTTAGCTTTTGTCATCTGGGAATGGGATGTGTGAGTGACACCCCTACTATCAATAAGACAACTTTTATCCAATTTTGTAAACTGTTAAAAATCAGCTGTGATAAGCATTAGAAGAACTGGTTTTATAAACTATCAAAACATCAGCCACGTGAGGACAGTCTAGATAAAATGGGCACCTGCATAAATGGGACAAATCAGCTTCATCAAGTCTTTATCAGGCACTTCGCTAGGAAAGGCAGAGGACAAAAAATGTCATAGTGATTCATCATATTGACAAACGGACACAGACACCAGTGTCTGATAATGGCTGCACACCAGCAGCTTTGTCATGAAGGCTTTGGTTATTATCGTCATCACCAGAGGCAAGCAGATCAAGTTTTTTTGTTGTTGTTTGTTTTTTCCATCCTCAGAGCGGTGACGGGTGTAATTTCCTTTCTGTGAGGTGAAAGGTTTATACTGATGTTGTTGACAGAAATGAAACATACACAACAAATTTATATTGTAAGTTTATTGCTGATTGTGTGTCATTTCGTGATAGTTTTAGGTCTGGTGAGATGAAAAGAGGGAAAAAGGTGGAAGGAACCAGACGTAAGACAAAATGAATTTCTGGTGTTTTCTGCACCTGGAGCTGTGTCATTTAATATTTCAAAAGGTTTGAAAGTGTTAATCTGGCGTACACGTTTCTTCGTCTCTCCAGCAACCCATATCCAAGTAGGAACGACGTCCCTAAAGGTTTCAGGACCCCTGCCTTGATCTCGGCGCTTCCTCCAAGATTAAGTTTAATTATTCAGAAATGGCATAAAATCTTTATCCAAATGTCTAACTCCAAGTCATTTTGCCCCTTTACTAATTTGTAGCTGCCCCATTTTGTTTCATCCATCTTTTTTGCACTCGTAAACAACCAATTTCATAACATCACATTTAAACCATACTGTAATAGTTTCTATTTGTAAACAATAGTTTTAGGCTTTAACAGCTTGTTTGTATTTTTTGAGTTATGGGGATAAATGCACATCATACATAACACACATTGATTTGAAATTACCCCCTACTGGCAGAGTCCCATAACCACATTTCTGTAGCGTTGAATGAATAAATCACAGAACATTACTTCAAATTACTGGTTAGCAAAGTGATGATGACATATCTTGCTTGACAGATGGTAAATTATTTAAATGACTAAGGTTCAAAACGTAGAAGAGCCAAAATTACCAGGACCTCATGAATTAGCTCATTTTCTCAGACAAACAGCCCAAAAATACATATTTTGTTTATCTTGGTATTTAGAAAAGCAGCAAATCCTCTTAAACCATGGCTGGAGCATTTCTGTTAGCTCATAATTCTGTGTCTGTCTGAATTGTCCTTAGATCTGCATGACTCTAGAGCCCATGAACTGAACACAGAAAATAGAGGAGTATACGATTGCCGTCTGTGTTTTGGAAGAAACTTATTGATTGACTGTCGCAGTGCTTCTGCTGGGCTTCATGTCTTTGTTTATGATTCACTGCAGTTTTTATTCTAATGTACATGACATTCAGTATGCTAATTTTTTACTGAAACAGGATGAGTCTGCTTTTGAGAACTTAAAGTTGGTTCCCCCATTTGTCAGCTTGCACTGCATGACATTACTCCATTTAACAAACTGTAGCTCTCGTGAGACGGGGAAAGCAGATGAAGGTTTCAGTTCATTGACTCTTGAGTTGTTCTTTTCGTGCTCTTGCAGGGGAAACTTCACAGTTCCAAAGCTTTCAGAGTCCAATATGGGATTTGGAGTGCTGGGAGTTTTTCTGGGGCTCCTCCTGGAGGTTTCTACCCACGGACCACACAGTGTTCCCCGAACTTCCTGGAAACGCCAAGGTAGAGCTGCTCGCAGTAAATATTCTGACTTGATTAAAAACAGTAAATCTACCTGCTGCATTAAGAGAGAAAGCTGCAGATAACCTGAAGGAGTAGAAAAGATAATACTGATACTGAGGGGATGCTGAAGTGAAAGTTGTGTACACATTTTCATCTTTTACTTCTAGATTTAGAAAAATGTCAAGCATCTGAATCCTTAATTTTTGGCAAAAAAAAAAAAAAAAAAAAAAAAAAACAAACAAAGAATTAAAATTAAACCTCACTTTTCTATAAAAGCCATCTGAGTGAGAAGTAGTGTTTCTCACTGTGAGTCGATATCTTTACTCAATCTCAAAACAAGACACATGAGTCTCAGATATAAAGTTCGCTGGCAGTGCAGGAGGAACAGAGCGTTCACACGGTCTTTATATGTCAAACTCTTTCAACTCGGCGTCTCATGTTCACAATAGTACATTTAGTTTCACCTGTTGCCTAATTCTATCAGGAGAAAGTAGCTCCAGTCTCAAATTAGGCGAATGATTCTATGAAGAAAAGGTTCTCATTGCTGGCTACAGAAATAGTTGAGGTAACTCGGTCTCCGAGTGAGAGCAGCAAGAGAGACTCCTCTTTAAACTCTTCTGTCACCCAGTCGCATTTAGTCGCCTGTTGAGGGTATTTATTTTGTTTGTGACCTGCATTTGAAGCTAAAACCACCAGTAGTAAGAGACTTCACGTTGCAGTCTTTGAAAAGGAAGAAAAGGTGATTGCATTTGCTGACATGTTGCTTCAAACCAGTTCCACACGCAGCAGGAAGGCTCATTTCTATTAATGTTTTGAAAAGACTTCAATATAAGAGATGGAATGTCTTAGGAGGAGGAAGACATGAGTTTCTAGTTACATTGCCTTACAAAAGAAAAATGCATTCATGACCCTTGAACTTTTCAAATGGCTTTCACAATATTTTACAATTAAAAAAAAAGAAAAGTTTATTGTGCATATTTATTCAGCTCTTTTTAGTCAATTCTTTTAAAAACACATTTTGCTACAATTAAAGCTTCAAGGATTCTTGTTTATGTATCAACCAGATTAGAGGAATTTGTTTAGAGGCATCTTATTAAAAGGGGCTGATTATATAATGCATGTTACAGTTTTCACATTTGTTGAAATGTTGCATTCGTTTCCTTCCCACTAACAAAATCTAACAAACAATACTACGTGATGGTCTACCACATAAAATCTCATTGTGTTTGTCACCTTACAACCACAAAGAGTTTGAATATATTTAACAGGAAGTTTCTATTCATCTAACCTGCATGACCTACTTAGATGAGCATTAAGACCAGCATTTTATTTCAGTCAATTTAAAATCAGCCCTCAAATCAAACTACGAATTGAATCTCCTGTAACTTCAAAAATGCTGATCCAAATGTATAATGAGCAGCTTAATTAAAACTCTGAATATGGTTTAATGTAGCTCTATTGGTTGAAAGCTGTAAATGTGGCCTCATCACCAAACATCATCCTCCTCAGATTTGGACCTCCTGGAGTTTTCAGAGCCTGGCATCTTCAACTACTCGACGCTACTGCTGAGTGAGGAAAGAGATGCTCTGTATGTGGGAGCAAGGGACGCCATTTTTGAGCTCAACAAGAGGAATGTGACAGTCAGGAACCAAAAGGTGAAAGAGTGGGAATAATGGCGCCATCACAGAATAGAGGATATCTTCAAAAAGCTAAGTTGTCACGTTTGATTCATAGGTTCAGTGGAAAGTTGCAGAACATCCCATGGAGATGTGCACACGTAAAGGAAAATCAAGAGAGGTTTGCTAGATAACAAATACATTTTCCGCTTGTTTCATACAAGCTTTTCCTGTCTGGATCTGTGATGTAAATAACTCTGTCCCGTTCCAATTCAGAGGGACTGCCCCAACTACATTCGAGTGCTCCAGATAGTGGATGACAAGCGGCTTTACATCTGCGGCACACATGCCTTCCAGCCTCAGTGTGATTACTTGGTAGGCTAATGGTTCATTACACTTTAACTGCGAACGTCACACTACATGCACCCACTAATCAGCAGCATTGCTGACTTATAAGAGCTTGTGTGTTTCAGAATCTTGCAGACTTTTCTTTGGAGGGTCGACCTGAGGATGGCAGAGGGAAGTGTTCGTTTGACCCTTCGCAGAGCTTTACCGCCGTCATGGTCGGTAAGTTGAGGCCAGCTTCGGCTCATTTCACAAAGAGCTCTTTTGATTGAAGGCCCTGCATTAAAATGGATAATAATCTGTAGTAATCTCTTGTCATGGCGAGGGAAAACTGACTTGGCTTCATTCTCCCATCAGATGGAGACCTCTATTCTGGGACAGCTTATAACTTCTTAGGCAGTGAACCGATTATCTCCAGATATTCCCCATCCTATCCCCTGCTGAGGACAGAGTACTCCACATCATGGCTCAATGGTGAGTTTGGACCATATTTCTCAGGTGGTTCATCCAGCTGAAAGACACTTCAACATACTGACGGACAGGGACAAATATATTTTTGGGATTTTTTTCGCCACCCTGACTGTTCTCCTTTTTACAACATCCCACACATGCAGATTGTGACTGATTTCAGTTTTTCTGTGTACAGAACATGAAACTCACAGCTTCTCATTTTTACGCAGTATTTACGCAATATTAGTCTGTTAAAATGTCACTGCTGCTGCTGGACCACAAACTCATGACTATTCATTCAGTAAACAACCCTGACTTTAAATGGGTCTGTTTGGGGGAAGTACTCTCTGCAGATCGAAGCTTGTTGAGTTTTAGGATTACTAGCATGTTTCTGACCCATAGTTGATTGCTAAAAGTAAGCTTTATATGACATTAAAAATGTGTTCACAATCAGTATTTACACACAATAGTTACCCAAATGTATCATCTCTTGTCTACAAGAGATATCTGGGGTTACTCCTCTGGCAACCCTAGATATTTTCTGTCAAATTCAGTTCTAGACTCTGGCTGGGCCTATCTAGAACTTAAATTTGCCCGGTGAAGTCATTCACTTGTATGTCTGGATTTATTATGAGCCCCTAGTAATGCAAAAAAAAAAAGCCTGAGGATGATGCTGCCTTCATCATGTTTTGTTGTAGATATGTTTGCTTTTTTTTTTTTTATCATTTTTGCACCTTATGGAATTTTGATTTACAAAGTTCAAGTTTAGTTTCACCAAATTACATATTTTTGGCAAAGTATGGAGGAAAGGGTTTCTGTCTTGTAGCTTACTTCTAAGACCAAATGTATGGAGAACATATACACACCTACATCTCAGTAAATTAAAACATTATTAAATTCTCAGGACCTCTCTTCAAAAAGGGAACCGTACGTGTGCACACAATGATGGTTTCATGCCTTAATTTCTGTTAATTTTGATGTTATGACTTAGAATTGATTTCTGAGAATTTTTTGAATATAACATACAATGAATAAAAGTATTTTAATACAGTAACTGTATAGCATATGTACGCAATATTTAGGTGGGAGTTAGCAATGGAGAATCTATCTTGGTCTCATTATCTCCAAACTGTAGACTCCTGAAATCTAAAATAAACTGTGCATACTATGTATTAAACAGCTCAAGTCAGGATTGATGTGTTGAATTTTTCTGTAGATAAAAAAAGGATTTTTATATTGGTCTGAACATCTTGCATCAACCAGCGTATTTATCTGTCCTCTCCATGTGTATTCATTTCAGAGCCTAGCTTCGTCTTTGCAGATGTGATCAGGGCCGAGAAGCACAGAGGAGACGGCGAGGACGACAAAATCTACTACTTCTTCACCGAGGTGTCAGTGGAGTACGAGTTCTTTGGCAAGCTGCTCATTCCCAGGGTGGCTCGCGTCTGTAAGGTCAGCATACGCTGTGCACCATCTGCTCATACCTGCAGCATGCTTCTTTTATCCCCGTTGCCATGTTGTTGTCGTTTATGGATCGTTCTCAGATTAAAGTCTTCTGTACGTTTTGTGTTGATCAAATCTTAAGTAATTTCTTTTGTATTGACTTCCAGTCAATAAGAGTGATTATTATAGTTGCGCAACATTTGTTAGACAACAAACTACCAGCAGACATTAGCTTATGACTGTTATGTAAGAATTCGAATATAACTTTGTTAAAGACTCGAACACAATCCACCAAAATCTTGCTCTTTCCACAAAACGCTAAAATGATGAAAATATATTGTTTGGAGATTATAACTAGCTATTTGCAGTTTTTTTCCCTCCACAGAATATGAGAGAGGTTTTGGCTTACCACCTTTGTCATTTTTAAAGGTGAAACCATAGCAAAGATGGAAATGGGTTCTTCTTCAGTGGAGTTTTATAGAAAGATATCCAGTATTTTTGAGGAACATACCTGAAGGACTTTTTAGGACAAACTAGTCAGTCTTTAATTTTCTTTTTAGTTTCTGCCAAATGTGTGGTTTCTAATTCAAATACCTTAACAGTATTTATAAGCCAGACTATGGTGATGCTATATAGACTTTTGGTAATTAGTTTATTAGAAAGGCCAGAAGAATAATCCATATTATAAGCTAATAAAAGGAAAATGAGTGGATTCTGATGTCCCTTTTGCACATTAACCTACTTTAAGATTTTCAATGTGACTTCTTCTTCTTTGTTTTTACACATGGCCTCTTTAATATCCTTTTCCAGGGTGACCTTGGAGGAGAACGTACTCTGCAGAAAAAATGGACCTCCTTTCTGAAAGCCAAGCTGGTGTGCTCCATGCCGGAGCTCAACTTTGTTTTCAATGTGGTCCATGACGTTTTCATCCTGAAGGGAAGAGACTGGAGAGATACAGTCTTCTATGGTGTTTTCACCTCTCAGTGGTCAGTGATTTCTCTAACTTCCAGCTATGTAACAATCCATAAATATGTCTGTTTCATTTAAATTTGATCATTTTCTTTCTTCTCCTTGTTGTCTAACTGATTTATCACACCTGTGTGTTTTACTGCCGTAGGGGAAACGTGGGTTTGTCAGCGGTGTGTGCCTACAACATGGCAGCTGTGGAGGAAGTCTTCTCTAAGGGGAAGTATATGCAGAAGGCCACAGTGGAGCAGTCCCACACAAAGTGGGTGCGGTATAACGGCATCCCTCCGTCTCCCCGTCCTGGTGCAGTGAGTGCCTGTCAACTCTCAACTCGCATGCTTTGCTCAACTCATAGCTCATTACAACCACAAAGCTCAGTGTGTTTTATGTGATACGGCAACACAACGCATCACACAATTGTGAAGGGGACAGAAAATGATAAAAGTAAAGTATTTACAAAAGAAATCTGAAAAGTGTAGCGGGCTTTTAATTCCCCTAAATAAAAATCCAGAGCAGAATAATTAAGCTCTAGTTTATGTTGGTCTACCATGTAAAATCCCATTAAAGTTTGTGGTCTGATATGTGAGAGGGCGCAATGAGTAAGTGCTATGAATACATCAAGATTTGTCCGTATTTGTCTGACTTTAATTTGTGTCCCCCCCTTACAACACCAGTGTATCAGCAACCAACTGCGTCAAAACAACATCAGCAGCTCACTCCACCTTCCGGACAAAACCCTTCAGTTTGTCCGGGACCACCCGCTGCTGGAGGACCCTGTCCTGCCCATCGGCAACAGACCTCGACTCATCACCAAGGACGTCAACTACACTCAGATTGTAGTAGAGAGGGTCCAAGCACTTGATGGGAACGTCTATGATGTAATCTTCACCGGAACAGGTGAGAACTTATCTGCTGTGACACTGCATGCAAATGGCTTGATCTTGCTGCAGTTTGCAATAACATGTTTGAATTCTGTTATGCTAAAATGTTAAACTAATGGAGAATACTTTCCCCACGCGTGCCTTGTTGGATAATGAAATGTTTCTTTTTTTTTTTTTTTCTTCTGCTGTGATTGTTAGATAAAGGTGTCCTGCACAAGTCGGTGGTGTTCGAGGAAGATGTCCATATTGTGGAGGAGATCCAGCTCCTGAAGAACTCTGAACTCATAAAAAACTTACTGCTGTCGTCTGAGGTCAGTTTCTTCTTCAGTTCTCCAAAAATATAAGTTAAACATTTCAGGTGAATTCTATCAATTTCAGATAAGAGCCTATGTCTTGTCTGAGGGGAAAAAAAAAAAATTGCTGGAAACATTTGGTGATTGTGAAAGTCATAAAGTCATCCTTTTATTTGTACAGACACATAAAGAAAAGTTTACAAGTTCTTTGATAGTCTGTACTTTTAAATCCCACAGAAAAAATGGGAGTTATAAGATCTTGTTTATAAATACTTTTCTTTGCATATCATACGTACAAACTCATTTCTTCCAGACACGGTCGGTGTATGCTGGGTCGGACTCTGGCGTCATTCAGTCCCCCACAGCTTTCTGTGGAAAGTATTCTACGTGTGACGACTGTGTCCTGGCTCGAGACCCCTATTGCGCCTGGGACCCCAACACAGCCGCCTGTGTCTGCATCCTTGATGTTCCAAAGGAGCAGCTCAGGTAACCTGATGGGCTGCATTCACTCTTTATCACCGCTATCTTTCTGCATAGTTGTGCTGCACTCATCAGTGAAAAGGAAACTTCCAGAGGTCTTAGGGGTCAGACCTGATTTACCTGCTTCTCAGTGTTTGATTATAATTTGAACTCAGGTTTTTTGTGTTGCAGGAGTCTGACCCAAAGTCTAAGCGGTGATGCAGACATCTGTCCTCCAGGTAAGATGTGCACACATCCACCCAAAGAGCCGGAACAGTCTGACTGCACACAGACGGTTAATACACAGTACATTGTTCACAGGCCATAAGTATGAGAAAACTATTTTCACTTGAAGGATCACTAGAACAGAAGATGCAAATGTGACTTCTTTTTGTTTGCTTTTCAGTGTCTTCGGTGTCTCTGAAGGACTATCAGAAAGTCTTAGTGAAACCAGGCAGCTCTGCTGAGCTTCCCTGCATGGTGAACTCCAACCTGGCTCATGTGATGTGGAAATCAAACAACACTCTTCTCGACGAGGCCTCTCGGTTCCACTTCATCGGCGAAAACGGGCTCCTCATTTACAGCGTGGCCCCCGAGGATCAGGGTGACTACCAGTGTTGGTCTGTGGAATGGGCTCCTACTGTTGGGAAGAACTTTAGCCGCCTTCTTGCTGGATACACACTGAAGCTGGATCTTCCTCCCGGACCCCCTGCCAGGACAAACCGTCTGGCCACCACAGTCCGCAGCCAGGAGACGAGTAGCGTGCTTCCAGCTGAAGGTAATGGTAAGACAGAGAGACAGCCACTAACTTCGGCCAGCTTCACATCCACAGTCCTCCTCACCACCCCGCCCCAAACTGACCCATCACTAACCCCGCCGCCCAGTGGCACAGTCAGGTTACAGCCAAGTAGGAACATTCCCGCAAACTCCGTCATTCCTCGTCCAGACAGCCAGGACCCTGCTGCGGAGTATTTGCAACACAACAACAGCGTGGCCCTCCTCTCCCTTTTCCTCCTGTTCTTCCTCCTGTTTTTAGCCGCGATGGTGTACAACTGCTACATGCAGTATCTCCCCGCCCCGTGCCTCAGGCTACGAGCCACTCTACTAGGGAGCAACAAGTGTACCCATCAGCCAGAGTACAGGGCCTGTGAGGCGGGTTTAATGGAGCCGTCTGCTGCCGAGAAAATTAACATGACGGAGCAACCCGCGCAAAACGGCAGCCAAACCACCAAAAACCTTCAGGCACTGCGCGACACTGGCTACGAGACGGAACCCGAGTGCGGCAACGGACGTCTCCCTTCTCACAACTTTGGAGGCGACAGCTCCTCCCAGGAGAAACCTTTCGATGTGGACTGCGACTCCCAGTCCATCCAGTTTGCGGATGCAGATGACGCTTACTGATGAATATCAGTGGTGTTTTTACATGTTCAGAGTAGAAAGTGCACCAGGGCTAAGTTCCTTATTTCTGCAGTAGGCATGGGCCAGTATGATGACCTTGAGTAAAATAAACAGATTGACGTATTTAGCATAAACCGCCCAAAATATCTGATACGATCCGGTTAATTTTATTTAAAACTACAAAGCAACAGTCTGATATGTAGGCGCTAGCACAAAGTTGCTTTAAACTAGCGTCTTTTAACCTCTTTATGGGGGAATGGGTGGTGTTTTTCACAACTAGAAATGTTTCCAAACAGCTGAATTTGTATTCAAAGGGAGGGAAATCCTCCTCCTCCTCTACTTGGAGGAGGAGGATTGTTGCCATTACTTAATGCTCTATGCATCTGGAAAAAACTGGTCACGTTGACAGTTTGACTTATTTTAAAAGTCTAACTTTGTGAACTCTTGCCATGCCTTGATACTGTCTGCTGGTCACTGGCCCATGCTAAGAAGCTGAATGTCATGAAAGTGAGCGCATGTCCAGCATGTAGCAAATATCTGAAGGTTTGGATCAGATATTTTGCTCTTTTGAGGTCTGATTTGGAGCTTTTATCCTTTCAGCTGAGTCCAGCAAGAAAAGCTATTTCTTATATTCCAAATTGGAAGCATTCTTTGCCAAATTGGTAAGTTATTGTGATGTTTTCCAAGTTGGAATCCCATTTCTATTCAGCCTGAGTGGATAAAAATGTCCCTCGGAGCATTTGCATCCATTTGTATAACTGATGCTTCATCGTCATGGTAATTTCTCAGGGAGGTTCTGTGTGATTTGCCTTTGTGTGTTGCCCTGTGTTGTCAGCCTCACCACCTGGTTTGTGTAGCTCCATCACAGAGTTGATACATCAGAAGATAGAAAAACAGTCGGACATCTTGGTTGGTGGAGAAAAGCTGGAATGTATCGAACCGTGGACTATCGATGAGTGGCACTGCTGAGATAAAACAAAAAAACAAAAAAAACATTTTCTTGTTCTCTTTATCTGTGAAGTCGACATTCCTGATTGTCCTGTGTATTAACCCTCATCAGGCCGTCTCCCTTATGTGGTGTGTTACTGAAATAAAAATGTACAGTATGAGCAGAGGACATTAGAGCCCTGGAAACAATCTGAAGTTTAATATTTATTATGATTTTATTAAACATTCTGTTTTAGATTATTTAAAATGACACATCTGTGGTAATGACACAGCAATTCAATCCTTCATTTTGATTTTATTTATTGCAAAGCTTCTAGTTTTATACTTCTCACGCTCCCTCTTTTATTCTCTCTGCATGCCGTCCGGTGTTCAGACTTTCCTCAAAGCTCTCTTCTTTTCCGCCACTCCCTCCCTCTCACAGCCTCCTCTATCGACTCCTCATCTTCCCTGTCATCCTCTGGAAGTAGCTCTTGCTCTTCCCTCCCTTCCTCCTCTTCTCCCGCCAAGCCCCACTGCGTGGAGGCTCGGGAGGCAGAGGTAAGACTGTTGCCTCCTCTCCTGAAGGACCAGGCCTGGGGGGTTCACGCCCAGGAGGCCTTCCTGCTCTTCTGCCTCGCTCTGGGTGAGTGCTGCCTGTGACTCTGACCTATCTCATACCCCTCCCTGAAGAAACCTCCCCCTCCCTCAGGGACACATGCTTGGTTTTGAAACCCATGCCTTGTGTATTTAACCCTTTGTTTTGCATTCTTTTCCTCCCCTTTCTACTGTGTGTTGGCATTACTCGAGCCTGAACTAACAGAGCTGAGTGTTTGGGTTTCTGGATTTGTTTGCTGGATTACCACAAAGGTGGATCGATTTCTGAAAATACAAAATAGGGATTCATTGCAAAAATGTCAGCTTTTTTACAACTGACTTGCACAAATATATATATTTTTTTATAAATTGCTGTGTAATGGCAGTCTTAATTTGTAAAATTTAAAGATGAGCACTGTTCACGATGTCTCCATGGAACATGCAGGAGAAGTCTGCAGAAGAATTGTTGGTAAAACTGTTAATTTTTTTTGTGCCTGTAAACATTTGTCAATATTTGTATATATGGGAAATGGTTGTTGATTATGTACATAAATCCATAGGATGTTGGGCTCCTAGTAGAGTGGTGAAATAAACCTTGTCAGATTTCAAAACTTTTTTAAAAAACTGAATCAGAATAAAGAAATGACACAAAATATCATTGTGCATTATTGCTCAAAGGTAATCCATTCCCACTGCACATTTTTTTTGCATTTTGTCATATTTGAGCCACAAACTTCAATGTACTTTGAGATTTTTATGATTGACCAAAAACAAAAGACAGCATTAATGTCAAGTGGAAGGAAAATGTTTATGAATAATGATCTGACGGCTGTGGCGTGCGATTATATTTGATCCCCAGAGTTGATTTATTGTGGAATCACCTCCTGCTGCACTTAGTTGTATGTTTTGGGATATCTATGAACTTTGCACATCAATGATTGATATTTTTGTTTCATTTTTTGTTAAATTGACAAGTTCAGCAAAAATTAATGAAGAAAACCTGAACATCAATTTTGGACTCAACCCAGGACTTTGACTGGACCACTCAAATACAGCCAGTGTGCTTTTGATGTAAACTCCCTTTATTTATGCTCATCCTGCCTCCATCCCAGTCTCAAGTCTAAAAGGTTTCCAGGTTCACCTTGTATTTAGCTTGATCCATCTTGCCATTAACTCTGTCCAGCTTCCTTGTCTCCACTACTGAAGGTTAACCCCACAGCATGGTGCTGCCATTACCATGTTTTACAGGTGGAATGGTCTTTTTGGTGTGATGTTGGCTTTCTGCACAACTTGGCATTTTGCATGTTGGTCAAAAGGTTCAAATTTGGTCTCATCTGACCAGAGCCCCTTCCTTCAGATGTTTGTATCTTCTACATAGCTGGTGCTGAACTAAACTGGGCTTCATGCAACTTCAGTTCAGCTAGAGTTTTTGTATTGCAACTCTTAAGTCAGATCTATGGCAGCACTGAGGTGTTAAGAGGTGGTTTAAATCAAATGCAGATTTTATTTTATTTTTTTTACTTGCGTGCAAGCCTCAGAGGCTGGGTTACACACCAACGTAGATCTGATACGGACACATCATTCTACAATCGAGAAAATGTTTTAAACAGTCTTCCTGGTTGGCGATAGTTTATCAGGCATCAAAAACTATTTTCTGAATGTCCAATGTTTTCTTTCAGACTCTCAATGTACAAACTTTACAAGATGGCAATGAATAGATAAGGTTTAAGGAAAGCTTTTTCTTAATGTCCTAAATGAAACTTTTTTTCTGGCATGCTGAAACTGTTTGTGTGATCACTGTTGATACAAAACAAAATCAGATGTGATGGAATCTGTTTACTGCTGCATGACTGCTTGCACCTCTGCAAACTGATTTCCTCATGTGAACGTACCAAAGGAAAGCACCATGTTCTCCACGCCAGGGTCTCAACAATCAGGAGTCAACAAGAAGTCCCGTTCTGTTCCGCAGGTCCAAGCGACATCCATATTCATTGGCTAATAAATGGGTACAGTGTGGACACCTCAGTAATGGAGTACCGAAGGCCACTGGGCCAGAGGGAGGTGCTGGTGAGCAGCTGGCTTAGAGGGGGGCCGCTGATCAAGGAAGCCCGTTACCGCTGTGTTGCTGAAGCCAGCACAGGAAGTGACACGTCTGACATTGACCTCCATCTCACTACAGGAGGTATTATGGTTGTGTGGATTTGGGTAAAAACGTTAAACTGCTGTGAAGTGGTCGTGTATGAGGGATTTGCCCTGGTTGGTTGTGAGTATTGCCACTGATGGGGCGATGGGTGATGGTTAAATCTATGAAGGATGTTGTTGTTCGACAGATGAAAACATTCCATCCAGGGAGCTGAACCAATGGAGAGGTGCGCTTACAGAGCATGAGCAGCTGCTGAAAAGATGGAAAAAAACCTGGGTAGGTCGCACAGTGGAGTGTTTTTCGTCTCATGTTCTTCAAAAGCCTCTTTGTCTAAATGTTTCACTTCATCTAACCAGTATATCAAGATGAAAATCTTTTTGATACTTCTGGAAATTAAAAAGAAATGTATAATTTTATTCCAGTAGTATGATTTGAGGATATTTCTTCTGGTGGAAAAAAATAAACCCAAGAAAAATATTTGGCTTTCACTTCTCACCATTGGCACAATTGCTGGTACAATTGAAAAATATATCTTTAAAATAAATTTAACCGATAAGTTTTGTTAAGTTGACATCTCGGTGTAAAGGTAAAGGCAATTTTATTTATATAGCACATTTTCAGCAACAAGGCAATACAAAGTGTGACCAAGTCTCAGTAATAGCTGTTGTCCTGCTTTACTTATGGTGGAAGTTCAATCAAGGTTATGAGTATTTCCACTAATAGGGCAATACTTTGGTGAAAAATATGACATTTGCTTTTCTCTAGTGGTAAAAAAAAAAAGTACAAATGTAAGAAAGCAACAGTCTTAATAAATCAGACTATGAGGAACTACATTACAAAATATCCTTATCAATTTTATTATTTCAAATAGTTTTAACCACATCAATACTTCAAATTGGATTAAATGCAACTTTACCATGATTGTCTTTTGATGTTTTCAAAAATAAAATGTGATGACCAATTAATTCATAGTTTAGATTTTAGAGGAGAACCATCTACTTTTTTTTTTTTTTTTTAGATTGTATGCTTTTATGGTCATTAAGTACAGAATCCACAGAAATCCTTGCCCTGCATTTTTTTAGTTATTTATTTTTTCACTTCTTTGCTTCTTTATAATCTCTGCTCTTTCCTCTGCAGGAAAGCTGTGATGGCCACACAGCTGGGTGAGCACGTGTTCATTCTGGTTGTGCACTGGCCTCTCAGTCCAGCTGGACCACTCCTCTGACACTGAACATTTCACAAACACAAGTAATATGTTTCAGTGTCGCCACTTACACGAGAGTTTGATGGACCATGACATGAAGAATTCACAGCTCTTGCACCCAGCAGGTGCAGACCTCACATGGCTGCTGTGATGGTTTTTGGACTCCCTCCAAACTGGAAGGATTAAAGCCCACTGACTCCTTCAGTCTAAGAAAGCTTGTACTGGATTTGTTGCTGTATTTACGGTATAAGACTGTACGTACATTTTGAAGCAGTGCTTGTGTGAAAACGGCAAATGTCTTTTTGAAGTTTATCAGATTCTTTGGGTCAGTGTCTCTGTTAAACCCAGTTATAGTGTGATGATATTCAAAGTTTTGCCTCTTAATTTCCTTAAAGAACCAGTTTCACTCCTCAAGGCTATCTTACAGAGTTTTTACTTAAAATATAGTAAGTTATTCAAGCCTCAACTAGGATCAAACTGAGATAAGAAATTTATCATCTACGGTCATACTTTTATTGCCAGTATGTCTTATGCTTAAGTTAGCTTAATTATTTACTTGAATCAAACAATACTTTATTATATTATTCACAATACTACAAAGGTAAACATTAAACTGCCAAAGTCCAGTGTGTTTTGGCACACACTGGAAAGTTTACCACTTATTGCTTTTTTTTTTTTTTTTAAAGAAACATGTGGTTTTAGTCTTGAAATAAATTGTTTTATTCTTGTCTGATTTGTATTGAATGGATCATGTTGAGCAACTACTGGTTTTCAGAAATGCTGAAAACCAGTAGTTGTTCGCACTCCTAAAACAAATGCATACTACACACGTATGGCATTTACTGTAAAAACCCAACGAAGTTCGTTTTTACAGTAGAACACTGAATGGAGTATATTCCGTGTTTTGTTATGGCATGTTTTGGATAAATCTTGTTGGGGTCTGGATTTCTTTCTTTCTTTTTTTCTTTTTTTTTTTTTTTACCTCACAGAGCAGATTTATGTAATGTAATTAACACTAATGCTCCTTTGGTATTCTTCGTTTTATAATATAATCTATCAAAGTTGGGTTTTCTTTTAAAGGGAAACTTTTACTTGTAATTGTGCAATGAAATATTGCAACAGTGGTACTTATTTGAATGACTCCTGCAGCTCTGCAAGTTCCAACTCTGCTGAATCACAGTGTACCACATCAGCATTTTCCACAAAAAGCATTTTCTTCCACCTGAATAATTTATCATCCAAGGACTTCTTCTTGTAGATCTATTGCAGAATTGGAACAGGACAACTGTTTCCTAGAATCTAATTGGCAAAACAGATGCTGATTATTAAAGAAATGGATTATAGATTTAAAGACCGATGACTATTCCGTAAGGGGAAAATACTTTGTGGTGAGGCTTTATTGTTGTTTTTCACATTAGAAACTTTGTATTGAGCTAAAGTGCATCTGGGAAAAAGACATGTAGTTGACCTGGACAATACCTCTGCATAAGTTGCTGTTTATGATGTTTCCATTTTAATTTTAAAACAAGATTACAGTACCCTCTTGTGTCCAAAAGAGAAAAATACAACCAAAAGGGGAAAATGCTGTAAGCAAAGGAAACATGGAAAAACTGAAACTGTATGACAGCAGCACAATTGTTTAAGCATTCTTCTAGAGAGTTCATATGCAAATATTTAGCTACACAGCAACCTTCCCACTGGTCATGTGGGCCGTCAGGCGTTCCATTGCATTATTTCTTTACGTCCAAATTGCTTCTAGATAAACATCACAAGTCAGCTTTTTTCCTTCTGGCTGAACGAAGCAATTGTAGCTAATTGCAAGTCCCTAAAACACAAGGAAAATTACAAAGAATAATTATTTTTAACTGTTTAAGCAGCGAAAGGGTAAACATCACTCACAGCATGACTTCTTAGTGAGAAGTGGTAGGATTGGGTCAGTGTCTTGATAGAGGTCTTCTAAACAGTAGGATATGAGGCTCTGAAAGAGAATTTGACGAAAACTTCACTTAACTAGGTAACGGTATAATTAATTTCTACAGTTATTTTAAGAAGAAAGCTTTTTCCAGTTCCAAGATAGGTTAATCTTAAATCGTTTTGTTCACATACCTGGTTCGTGTATCATGTACTGGATCAATCTCGGGACTGCTGCACTCTCAGCTGTCTCCACTCATCTTCAGACATCAAGTGGGATTTTGGGACATACTTAGCCATTACCTGAGGTAGAACAACATGCCTAAGCAAGAGACGAAAAAAAAAGACTATTACTTTTAATAAAACAACTAATTATGTCTATTTGGCAAAAGTTACATATTCTTTCCTGTCAACACAACCCCTGGGAAGTATTTCAACTCCAGACTTTTCCGGAATTTTCCAGACTACAAACCAGCTATATCAAGACGAAATAGTCATTATTGCTTCCTCAGAAACAGGTATTTTTAGGACTGTACTGTAAAGACTACAGAGGAACTTGTGCCCATATATCCAGAATAGATAAGAGCTGAAAAAAAACTCATCTAACATAAGCTTTTCCACAGGTCTCCAATTAGTACGACTAAATGATTAATGAGATGCAGATGTGCACGGTGACGCCTTGAGGAGCCCCAAGAGAAAGTGACGTCGTTGTATGAAAACTATATAAGGTGTAGGTTAATTGAAAAGCCCTCAAAACACACAACAGCCACATTAATGTGGCACACCGGTCAAAGTTTTAGAAGCGGTACAGGTGAGTCAAAAAATAGACATTTTGAACAGTTCAACGTGTTTCTTAATAGAATATCTATTACTCGGCCTGTTTACTGACGGAGACATGGCTGCTCAACTGTATTCATACTGGTCGTCCATGTACACGTTCGAGTAATAAATCTGGCTTCGAGACATATTTCCAGTGAAGATGAACAGGAAAAGTTTAATTAAACTGTAGTTGCAGTTTAATTGCATGTTGAGGTTTTTGTCTCGCTCGTGTAAATTTCAGCGAGGCTGTGATTGGACAGTGCATGTCACGTGACCAGAAACTTTTTTTTTTTTTTTTTCATCAATCAACCGGGCGCAGGTGAGGGTGTCTTTACAAATGTGGAATTTCAATGACATTTGGGGGATTGCATTATAATGCCAAATACTGTTTGGTGTGCTTAGCCTTAAATGAGTTTTTTCTTTGCTGATATTTTATCTTCACTGTGTTGCAGTATACCGCAGACATTTTGGCTTCACAAGCAGAGGGGAGGGTGGGGGGGAGCTTTTCTGCAGCACTGGTGTAAGAGAAAATAATGGCTTTTATCCTGTACTGAGACTCTGTTTAAAGTAGATGCAGTACATTGCAAATACTACCTACTCTGATAACCATATTCTGGTGCCATCATTGATACCTGCCTAATGGGTAGTTATCCATTAGGTAAGCTTAGTCCACCTGTGTGTAATTTCATCCCAGTATAAATCTGGTACCACACTGGAGAGGTCAAGAATACAGTTGACGAAAGGAACACAATCTTCTGGTACAAAATGCATGGCAGCATCATGCTGTGGTAATATCTTTTAGCAGGGACAGGCCAACTTGTCAGAGCAGAGGGAAAAATTGATGGTGGTCATTATAGTTAAGTCCTAGTATAAAACGCAGCTGGAGGAATGGGTGTCATGAGCACAAGTCTAGCACCACATGTTGTCATTGGGCAGTTAAACCACTTGGCTGCAACTCTGTGAAAATAATGCATGAATATATAAGAGCAGTGAGTTTAGCTGGGTGAAGGGGATGCGTTTTGCAAGTGTGCTTTGAGTATTGTGACTAGACATACAAGTTGTTAATGAATACTTTAAGACTTCAGCAGGACATTTAGCATGCAGTATTATACTACATGTGACAACCCAATCAGAGTCCACACTAAATCGTGGCAAGACTTGGAAAATTTATGCTCAGACACTTCATAGTTGGTCTCTCTCAACTTAAAGAATTTTCAGTACAATACACCATGTCATGTATGTGATTTATTTTCAGGTTTTTTTGTTGTTGTTTTTTTTTGCACTATTGACTACTTTTTACTTTATTCAGAAAAGTTCTGGTAGCATAAAGGGAGATCTGTGGATAAAGAAAATATTGGGTCACTAAATGCATCTCAAAATCCTTAAAACCCATGTTGGTTTATGAGAGATGTCAAAATAAATTTACCAAATATTTGACCTGAAGTGTTAAACAATGTTGTGGTAGAGGTGTTGTAATCCCTGAAAGTGGCGCTAAAGTTGGCTTTTGTGGCAGCAATTCTTCAATATGTACATTTTTCTAGTAGTGCAGACTTGTATCTTAACAAAGTAGTTAATCCTGTTGTCACACTATTGATTTATTGTTATGGGCTCACTAAAAATATCCCATTTTACCAATTAAATGCTTCTGTTTTTTTATATTAACCGTTTTCCCTCTAGCTTGCCTGGAACTTTTTTTAGCATGGCTTTGGTAACTAGGCAACAGCAGTCAAGTGAAATATTTGTTGGATTCCTTGCTGTCTTTCCTTTTTCCTACCCCACCTCTTAACGACTCCATTCAGTTTATTTGTATAGCTCCATTTCACAACAATCGTCATCTCAAGGCACTTTACAAAAAAATTCAACAGTTCAGAAGTAACTTGAGAAACCCTAATTGCACCAAATGTGCATGATGTCTTCTGGAATTTGTAAATAAACAAATGTTTAAAAAAAAAAATGGACGCATAATTCTCCCCTTTCCTGTTATCTATAGCATTGATCACAAATGCAGTGCTTTAAACAGAATTAAGGACATGAACCATAGTCCTTAACTGGGATTCAGGATGTAGGAAAGGCATTGATTGAACCTCCATGCTTCATTTGAATGCAGAAGATCTTTAATGGATTTCTTTAACTTAAGTGTTTTACTATTACAAGTGTTATCTAATCTATGGATTACTTTCTTAAAAGCACTTTTCACAGAATGTGAATCTATTCTGAAGTCTTCACTTTGAAGCTCTGCTGAGTAGAAAAAGGGGACATCTAGTGGCAAATGTTTTGAAACACACTTAAAAACGGGACAAAGGAAGGCTTGCATGGAAACAGGAGAATTGGGCTGTGCTAAAGTGTTAAATTGGGCTCTGAAACACTTTTTTTTCATATTTTGTTTGGTCTGAAACTTTAAGCATGCCAAATAAAAGAACAAATGCAGATCATCAAAAAGTTCTAATATCATAGAGATAACCAGAGGAAATGCAAAAAGGATCAAATTATTTTAAATGTCTGTGTGGGGGGAGAGAGATCTAAAGTTATGTGTCAAAAGTAACTGATTTTCTGAATTTCTTTATATATGTAGAAGAATTTTGCCTCCTCGTCAGAATTGTTTTTTAAAAATCATTAATGGCTTGTTTAGTGGCTTTAACAAGGCCACTGCAAAATTATCACTTTGCTTCTTTTGAGCCATTCAGAATAGGATTTGTTGCCCTGCTGCTTAATTCGCATGTTGTAAATTGTTTACAGGATATTTTCCTTCTGGATATTCTGGCAGAGACCAAAATTCATGGTTTCATCAGTAATAAGTTGAGGCCCTAAAGCAGCAAAAAAGTCCTGGTGCATCCACCACCTTGTATTGACGGTCAGTACTATATTCCTTTTCTAAAATGTTTATGTGACATAAAAGGATGCACATGTGAGAAAATAATTTTGTTAGCAGTTTGATACTATCAGGATGTTTTTTATAAAAGCCCTAGAATCTACTATTTTTGTTGTACTTAAATCTAATATAATCTAGTCTAGTATTCATTTTGGTAACTGTTAGACTGACCTTTGTCTTTTTTTATTATAAATGTTTTTTTAATATTTTTTGTGGGGGTCTTCCATGGATGCCATTTGTGTCTAGTTTGTCAATGTTGATGCAGCAACCTCCTGAATGAATGGTTGAATACTATCCGTCAGCACATTTATTGTTTGAGAAGTCTTTTGTTTTGTATTTTTCAGATTTATTCAGAATTTGGGGGATGTGTCATTTTTCTAGTTGAGAACTGGTCATCTTACTGATTGGCAGGAGCAGTTTAATGCATGTCAGAATGTGTGTATTCTGGTCTGCACAGAACACGTACATGTGAACCAACACTGAAAATGTCCTTGCATTAGTCCAAATTGATTTTCCTGAAGTTGCTGTGCAAAATAAAGGGATATTGACTACTGATTCTTTTTAGCACTTTTTGATGCCCCTTTTTTTTTTTTTTTTTCTCCCACTGGGACATTTTTATATTTTTGCTGTCAAAAATGTCTAGGCATACCTTGCATTTGGAATACAATGTTCCATTTATGAATTGCATAGCACCCATTCACAATAAAGACGGGACAGATGTATAATTCATATCCAATTAGTGTTTACTTCAGTTTTAATAAATTTAGTCTAGTTAATTTTTCAGCTCAAAATATGTTTGCAGTATAGTGAATGCATCTCCTTTAACATATAAACAGTAAATTAGTAATTAAATGTGTAGGTGGTAACTGTTGACATGAATGTGAAGGAAAAAAGGTGATGATGAAGGCAGTCCGACACACAGGGGTGGCAGTGTTTCTTCTGTTTAATATTTTGCACACATTTCTTGTACTTTGTTCATTTATGAGACCACGGAGGAAATGTGCTTTGCAAACATTTCACCCTCGTTATTGTTTACCACATTTCTAAGAGGTTGCAGAGAAGAGACAAAACGCAAACGGCTGTCTAGAATGGTTTCTTCCACTATTCTGCAAGCCTCCCCTGAATGAGTCATCCAGCTGGCTCCTCATTGGATAAGACCATGCCATCCCAAGGGATTGCCTTAGAGAGGCAGAAAGGCCTTGCTTCCATTCACAGAAACACTGGTATGCCTGCCCGTTATTTCATTCACATAAAAGACTAAATATCACATGTGGGGGTTTTTTTAGCCCTTGGCTTCCTTTTTCTCTTCTTGTGACATACAAGGACCTGCCTCATCATCCCTGCCTTTATGTTTGCCTTTGTTTCTAAGGAGAAAAGGCAGACGTGCTTTTTCTTTTTTTTTTTTTTTTTTTTTTTTTCTTTTTTTTTTTTCCCCCCCTTCTCTCTTGCCAGGCAGGAAACGGAGATATTGGGAAGGACTGCAGTGCGAAATCTGCAGCACAGTGAGAGCGGAAGCTGCTTATGAATGAGTGTCAGTATTTCAGCTTTGCTAAATGCTGCTGAGGACATTTTATACAGATGTGCGGTGCGCTTTCTGCTGACTGGGAGAGACGATGATGCTGTGCCGCTGTGTTTCTTATCGGCTTTCTTGAGCTTTTTGTTATCATTTTGGCGTATTCTCCTGAGAATGTCAGTCTCTGCTTTATTTAATTATTTTATTCGCTTCTTTTATTCATCACATTTCATTCAGACAGAACCAGTTGCTGGGCATTTTTCTGAATCTTTGCCATCTTTCTAAAAGTCAAATTATTCTGTAATTCATGTTTGGTTTTCTTTGTGGGTGTTTTGGCCACATTCAAGTTAAAATTATAAATATTTTGGAAAATTTAAGCTAAATCTTTTTTCCTCTTTACTCAGTTTAAATTTAACTATGTTGGAGAGACGGTTAATACAGATTAACTGGTAGATTTTTTTTTTTTTTTTTTTTGCGAAGCTACTCTCCGGGCATGGTGTCTGCTTTGTTTTGCTGATCTGATAAAATAACATGGGCAATATATTTCCAATCATGCCAGCTTATTGCAGCATATTTCTTTTTAGTTATTTTTTCCCTTTAAAAATATATATATATTGGAATTTTTATTAAAACTTGCTAATTTCTGGTTAGTTTGAGGTAATATCTTTACATTTTTTTTCTCAATTTCCTGCCGTTTCAAGATCTGATTTAATGCAGATTTAATTTTTTGCCAAGTATGATCATTACAGTTCCCTCCAATTCTTTTACTGTCCTCTGAGAAGCAAATAAGAAAGCAAGGAGTTGCAGGGAATAAATGAGTCTAGGGAATTTAAAAACTGATTGGTTCTAGTGTGCTGTTGGTGGGAGTTTTTTTTTTTTTTTTTCCTCTCCCTCCAACAGGAAGTGATTTGCGATGTTCAGCAAGCCTTTTGTTGAGAAGGTTTTCTCAGATCAGTGAGTCATGCTTCAGCTCTGAGCCGGCAGGCAGCAGCCAGCAGAGTATTTGCTCTTTCCTTGCAGTGTCCGTGATCATCGGCGACATTCATCTCTTCTGTTCCAGTTTTGGGGAATTTTTTTTTTTTTTTGAGGAGCAGCTCTAAGAAGAAAAAGCAGAAGCATCGCAGCTTGAAAAGCTGCACCCCAAAAACTGGCAGGGTTTTTTTTTTTTTCTTTTAATCCTCAACTTCTTGTGCTACAGTGTTTCCACAGATTTTGTCTCTAACGGGTTGGATTTCTGTTCTGGATTTTTGAGAAACGATTGGACTTTGACAGCAACAGCTCTGCACATTGAACCGCCGCTGTAAACTCAACAGAGGAAGAAAAAAATTTGTCAGGTGGCCTGTGATTGCTGAGGCGTTCGCTGCCTGTGCTACTGCTGCTATGTTACAGGAGAGGGTTATCACCGCGGTTCGGCCACGTCTGCCTGCACGCCTGTGAAGGAGGCAGGCTGTGTGTGTTGGTTGGTGGAGAGAAGAGGAGCGAGCCATAGAGAGAAGGGAATGCTTCACCGTACCAAGTACAATCGCTTCAGGAATGAGTCGGTAACATCCGCCGATGAGCTTCTCCACGGCCTGTCCATGAACCCCAAGGTCTCGGCCTCCTCCCAGTCTGCAACTGAGACATCCTTCGCACCCCCAAGCGAGGTCCAGCCCTCCTCCACTGCTACCGTCCCTTCCAGCAACACAACCATCCATGGCTCTGAGCATCTGGAGGATGGAGGCACCACCCTCTGCACCCTCATCAACAAGGTCTCTGGCCTGAAATTCAGCAACTCGGGCAGCCTGCTTGGCATCAAGGGTCTACCTTCAGCCGTCAAGGACCTGGCCGTGTCCAAGCTGCAAGGGGGTGGGGGTGCGGGCTCCAGCCCCAGCAGCGTGGTGGCAGCAACAGCCGTCTCTGGTGTGGGAGGGTCTCAGTGCAGCTCCCATTCGACTCCCTGCACACAGTTGGAGACAGCTGTCAGCATGAGCAAGAAGAGCAGACTGGACGATCTCCAGCCTAGAGGAGAGGATTGGAATCCAGGTGGGGGTGGTGGACTGGTGAGCAAGCCCTCCAGAGGATGGCTGCACTCGAATGAGAAGATATCTGGCCCAGGAGTCACATACGTTGTGAAGGTTGGTGGACTTTCCCTCTTCTTCTTTCTCTATCAATGGGAAGAGATTAGCTACCTCCGATGGGGATTAGAGTGAGAATGCAGTTGTGCATCACAACATGCCCTTGAGTGGGTGTGTGTGTGAGCTGGCTACTGCTGAAGGTTGAGCAATCAGAAAACAGACATTGAATAATTCAGGAAATGCAGAAGGTCAACACCAGTGGAAAAGTAGAGACGAAGCCCACGATGGTAACATGAAAAAAAAACCAGGCTTTAAACCATTGGTTTATCTGGTATTCTCTTGTCTGTGTGTGACAGCGTTATGCTTTTGTAACCATGGTGATGTGTTATTTCTGTACATCGTGCACCTCTCCGAGCTCCACGGCTGCTTTGGCTCCCTGAAAACGGCTGAACGGGAAGAGACTCATGGTGTTTGTCTCATTGCAGCTGTTATCTCTCCCTAATGTTGTTCAGCCATCATGCATCATTTAAGTTGGTGCACAAGTAGAAGAGCTGCAAATGTCATGCCATCAATGAGTCACTAGCACACAGTGATGCCGAGACCTGACTCTTCAAGGAAAGACAGATATGGGGTGATGGGATAGAAACAATTTTCACTGAAACATTAAGTGATCATTGTTTTATAGTTTAATTGAATAAAATGATCTTTTATTCATGCAGCAGATTGAACAAAGCACTTCTTTAGCTCTTAGGAAGGGATAAACACACCCAGTGAGACATGCTATATACTAAATCAAGTTACACAAGATGATCATATGATGCCTACTACAACTTTTCTGAATAAAGCCTACAGTCTGTTTGACCAGTGTGGCTTTCCATTAACTGCTTCAAGGTAGACTGCACTTATTTTTGTCCAGTCAATGCTGCTGTGACAGGGGAAATGGGTCTGACTCCCCCAACCCCCAGCTCTTCCTGTCAGTTTGTGTCCTGCATGTATCGAGTTCAGCGTGGCGTTTCTGCTCACAGCACTTTTAATTAGCGTCATGCGGTCAACCCTCATACATCATGCACCATTACACTAGAGAGGGCATCGACTCACTGACATTGTTTACCCTCGCTTTCCTTCTCCTTTTGTTGCCGTTTGGTAAAATAAGAGTCAACATGAAATGATTCTAGTTCTTTTCACTTATTGGAAGTCAAATTTTGTTACCATTTGTGGTACTATTGTGATGAAACTGTCTTAGTTTTTTTTTTTTTTTGATAGCATGACATGGCAACCACAGCCCCACAAACACAAATACTTTAATGCCATAACATTTGAAACAGACCTACAGAGAACACCAGTTCTGAGTTCTATAAAGAAGTATACTTTTTATCACTAATATGCATGCAGTAAATGCATTTAATCATGTTTTTGGGTCTACTGATCATTGATCTCATGGGGCACAGAGTGGAAAAAATACAAACAACTCTGACAATGCAGTACAGTTTTCACACGTCAACATTTGGAATTGATCATTCTCGTATGTCCAAATTCTTATGAGAAGACAAAATGATAAATGGTAAACACTGCAATAAATGTCCACTCTTACCTTCCAACCTAACCTTGAAGGTTTGTGGTCATTTGGTGATGGGCTGGATAAGCTCTAAACACATCCTACATTAACTTCTGGTTGAATTTATTAGACTGACTAAAAAGCCCCATTATTCAACCTAGTGGAGTTGCATTTTTAAAATATTAAGCAACTAATCTTAAACTATTCGTTTTCACAAATTGTCATGCTCTGTGTTTTGATGCTTGGCATGTCTGTTAATCCCTGGGTGGTATATTCTGTCAATGTCTTAAAGACGCTGGTGTAGTAAACGCTTTGGGAATAAAGTTCTGCAGGTTGGACTTTGGTTGAAGTTTTTGTGACAAACTACAGCCTACTCAACACAACCAAATCATGACAAAATCTTGGCCCGTTCATAGAAGTCCCTCCGGTCTCTGGACAGCATTCGGAGACCAACGCATATTCCCCAAAGTAAACATGCTACCAGTAACACTTTATTTGAAGGGGGTGAATAAGACTGTCATGACACCGTCATAAACATGACATAACTCCTGTCATGAACATGAATAAGCCTTCATGAATATTTGACTGTCATAAAGCGTCATTCGGTAAATTGACACTTTTAATACAACGTTGGCATTATTCAAAATGTCTTTATGACAACTTGACATTAACCAAGAAATAATTACTGATATAATTTTTATAAAAGTATTACTGATTGCACTTTAAAAATGAGGTAACTTTGTTGTTAAAGGTAAAGTTTAAACAGTAATGATTTCCTGGTTAATGTCAAGCTGTCATAATAGACATTTTAAATGATGTCAACTTTGTATTAAGTGTCATGATTTACCGAATAACGCTTTATGACAATTATCATAAATATTCATGAAGACTTATTGATGTTCATGACATGTTATGTCATGTTTGACAGTGTCATGACAATCTTATTCACCCCCCTTCAAATAAAGTGTTACCCATGCTACCACATGCATACGTTCCACATTTATGTCATGCAGACGATGTAAAAATGTTCCACATTTACTTCCTTGGGTCCTGGTGGTGGATTGTCTGCCAATGCATCTGGAATCCATTAGAGTAGATTTATTTTCTCCCACAATTATTGGCTCCCTTGGTTTTAATATTTACAATCCCTCTTTGCCAATAGGACAACGGTACTTTTCTCATAAAACATTTTGTAATGTTGCATATTTTTTTAATGGATCATCTGGAGTCTTTGGTCCTGTTACATTCTTCTCTTTAGCCCATTCCACTGGATTTATTTTGGGTTTACGTAAGGGGACTGAGATGGCAGTGGGATGAGATGCTTATTTTTATTTTTTTTTTAGTTCAAAAATACTTTATGTATCCCAAAGGGAAATTAAAGTTATTGCAGATGGTGATGAAGTGGACAGGGAGGGTCTCTAGTAGTAATGAGTCCTGCAGGATGTACTAACAGCTCAATATCCTGGCAGGAGAGACCATATTCCACAGCAACATGTCCTGGATGACACCATCACTTGTTGGCAAGAACTGCTAATCCACCTCATTTGCTTTTTGCTGCTGCTCTTTAAGTCTCTCTCTGATCATATGGGTTTCAAGGCCGATCTTGAGACGGCGGAGTCCGGGATATTATTCTTGACTTTTATGATTGAATGAAGAGAAGATTTGAACTTCCTCCTGCTTTCTCTGTTCTTTGGTCCTGCTCTGCATCCTTGAAGCTCTTTTTCAACTTAGTCATAGGTCAAGTATAATCTGACCTTTTGAGATGCTAATCAGCAGCTCCTGGTTGTAAAAACTGGTTGTCACAGCTGTACATAAGAACTGTCTTTCCAACTGCACAGCATCCAAAACCAGAGGGATGACTCTATAAAGCAGTTTCTTTTGATCATTTCTAATAGTTTTTATTGAAACTTGGAGATTGCAAGTCCTTGTGTATTTCTGCATGTTGCAGTTCTATTTGTTTTAAGCTTTTTAGTTATTGCTCGGATTGTAAATATGGGCACACCCATATTTACAGTCCGGCAGAATCGGAAACAAAAACCTAGTTTTTGTTTCTGATTCTAGATGTGTGAAGATTAATACACATCTGCCTCATTTGAACAGCATGTTCACCAGTCTTTCCCATTTTTGGTGAAGAATCATTTTTATGAAACATTTATGCCCTGGGGGAAACTGCAGAGAAGAAATGTTTCAATGATATGCTCAGAATAAGTCTTCTCTTCCAATTTTAGAACAGTTTGATATATTTTTGGCCTTGTGGAAGTGAACTCTTATTGGTGGTTCTGAAAATGGATAACACCGTCAGTCTGCAAATGTCACTGTGACATGGACAGTGTTTGCCAAAAGTTGCTGAATGCACCCTGGAGAATGGAGAAGTCGTCTGCAATTTATGGTTTTAATACGTTTAGTTATGAAAAAGTAGGGGCAACATTAAGGTTCTTGGATGCCAAATTAAGAATATGATTCTGCTAAATGACAGGAATTTGTCAGCACAAAATGGTCCTGGTTGGTGCAGTGTTGTTCAAGCATGAGGTGTTTGTAATACGAGTAGCTCTTGTGCACTGTGACTTGACTTCATTGCAAGACACAGATATTAAGAGATAAAGCACAGACATTACTTTTATCTTTCAACCCTTCCTTTCTATATTCCTTCCTTCCGTTCACATGTCCTGCATGTTTTGGGGGTTTTTCCACTCCATGTTCGTTCTTTTTGCTTTTTCAGCTTCTATATTTAAAATCTGCCTGTAGAAACATCTGCCATAGATTCTTAATGAACTTTCATGTTGCAAGGGAAGGAGAACGCTTGGGTAACTAAGTTTGGAGAATTCTGGATTTTTATTTTTTTTTATTGTAAAAGAACCCTAAGAGCTGGAAAGTATGGCATGAACATGTTTATGAAAATACAGCTGTCTACCTGAGGACACCAGCAAGGACTAAAACTGATACATTTAACTTTGAGCTCCCTGTATGCATCTCATACAACACTAATACACAAGTTCAAAAGGATGCAACTGGACAAGTGTTGATACCAATGCTAAAATTTTGAATACAATGATTATGAATCCACAACAGGACTGTAGTGACTTTGATCTTTGTTTCCTGACCAAATATGTTATGTTTACATAAATGCATGATTTTGTTTATCTCAAAATTTTCATTTTTCTTTGCAGTATCTGGGCTGCATAGAAGTTCTACGATCGATGAGATCCTTGGATTTCACTACGAGGTCACAAATAACAAGGTATGTTCAAACATGGTGTGGTTTTCTTCATTCAAATTTTTGTGTTATGGCTTGTTTTTAATATTAAAATGGTAGCGTCTATAAGGTTGCTTTCTATAATTATTACTAAAACACATGGCTGTCTCATAATATTTCCTGGTGACAGTATCTCAAATAGAATAAATGTAAAAATATTTGGGACTACTGATCGTGTTTGACGATATGGCTCACTGCCTAGGTCACAATAACAGCTCAACAGTTTAAAGACAAAACAGAATTTTTGTTTCACAAACATTTTTGTTTAAATACGACTTTGCATGTCCAGTTTGTGGGGGGGAAAAAATCAACCATGTACCAGAGCTTGCTGAATGTTGATGCTTTTTTTTTTCTAAAGCATTTCGGTTACATTTAATCCAACATCCTCTACTGTCCCTACACTGGGTAGAGATCCCAAAGTTGGAATATAAAACTTGTATTGTGAAAAAAAAAAACACCAACAAAATGTTTACAATTCAAATGTTCATCTATGTCTTCATGCAACAGACGGACATGTTTAACATTTTGCTACGTACCATGAAAATGAACTAAAGTATAATGATGCAGTTGAGTGAATATAAAATGAGCATAAAGTTAGATTTAAATGTATACAAAAGATAACATGAACCATTTCACTGTTTAACCTTAAAAAAAGAAAAGATCAATTACTTGTTTAGTTGATTAACAAATGACTGAAGCTCCTTCTTCTGTAAGCCCATTTTTCAGTCTGTGTATATTACAGCAATGACACAGTGATTAAAGTGACTCAGACCCTGACAATGACTCAGTGGCTCTATTGTGTCAGAGTCCAAATGAGCCCTCCCCCCTCCAAAAAAGTAACAAGCAAAATACAATACAGAGACAATTAAACCCATTTTAATAAGAGTTGCACAAGTTTGAAAATCTAATTGTATGCATCATTGTAAAACATTAAAAATGATTGATTCATCAACGGTGTGTGTAATAAAATGCTGCAAAATTCCTGCATGATGCCATATTTTTGATGAAGATGGCTTCTTTCTAGTGTATCTAAGCAACAAAACATTCAAATCATTGTCCATTAAACGGGTAAAGCAATCATTTTTTTATTGATGTAAACTATTTGTTCACTTGGAGGTTTCTGTGACTCCATAAGTATGTTTGAAGTTTGTTACTGATGTGCAGTGAAACAAAGCCTGATGGGAATTAGTTTGTCTTGTCCACTTTTCTGCATGACTTCCTGAGCTTTGCATCATTGGTTTGGAAAGCTGTCGCTGTAGCCCCACCGTCGCATGATTAGCCTCTTTTGTTCAGAATGTCAGGCAAAAAAAAAAAAAGTTACAGGAGACGAGTTATTAGATTTATCAGAAAGATAAGTCTCTTATTTTTGAATTGTGCACATTTCTTATTAAATTAGTCCTATTGTTAATCATGTAATTCATGTGCTTGTCTTCTGTGTATGAATTCTTACTTGCTCAAAAGTGTATGAAAGTCTGAAACGTAATCCCATTTCTTCATTTCCAGCTAATTCAACAGCTTTTTCTAACTTGTGGACAAGCACAATGTAGTGCCTGTCTGAAGCATAGGTATTTAGAAGATGAACACGTTAACTCGAACACATTTTAATCTGTGTAATGACGGTCATATGCACAAAAGTTAAGTATCTTCAAAGTTGGTGGAAAAAAAATGCATTGAAATGACTTGAATCTAAACATGGTCCTTTAATGTAGGCAGGACTACATTAGAGAAAAAATTCTTTGCTAAAAACTTGCAGGAAATTTATTGTTGCATCACCTTTCATAATGACTTGTTTCGTTATTCTTATTTTTTTTTATATAGTGTTGTAATATCTTGCGTCAAAAAAAAAACTACTCTTATGATTTATTCATTCATTACTATAGCTCTACATTAATTTAAATATTGAATGGTTTTAAAGTGGATTTAAATTTGAAATGATCAAAACTAAAATAAAAAATCTGTTTTGGATAAATAGCACAATAGTAACTGATTTTCAGTAAGTAACAATGGGAATATGATCCATGTTATTGCTGATGACGCTGAACATGGTTGTCCTCTTACCCTCCCTGCAGGGAAGCTATCAGCCTGGTGTGTGAAGCAGTTCCTGGGACCAAAGGAGCGCTGCGGAAAAGAAAGGTATGCCGACAAATGGAAACGCCATCCAGATCCCCGAAGAATATACGCAAACTGCTCAGTAGTTTGAAGAGTAAAGGACATTGGATATTCATTTGCCCTTCTGTGGTTTATTTATAGCACCCCTCTGTATGTTTTGCCCCCACTCCTTTTTACCTTCCTGTATGTGAAATGAGGCAAAGAAGGGAGATGAAGACGAATGGCGCCATGTCTGCGTGGGCGTAGCTTCAGCCCACGATGTATTGCACAGTGCTTAGTGACTCATGTAGTTCACAATATCTGATCAGGAGGCTGAGCTGCAGTGTGTGTGAGTGGATTCTGTTTGTGGGCCTTAATGTGAAGCATTATTCTGCTCTCTAAAGCTTCCTCAAATGTCAGAAAAGGGAATATAACAAAAACAGAATGAGTACCATCTAATTTCTCTGAATGAGGTTCTGATATTAGATGATGTTCCTGTGGATGTGTGACAAACGCGTGATTGTGACATAAAACGGAGTATCTTAAATAACTATGTCCTTTTTAATCTGCCCACTCTCTTTTAAAAACCTTCTTTTAAATGAGATGAATGTTATATTTGGCATCAGATTCAGACTGGAGATTTTTCGTTGTGGTGGTTTGAGTTTCTTAAAAGTTTAAGGTGGGGGGGTCAGAAATATTTAAGTTGAGGGTTTTTTTTTCTAGTTTGCATGAAACGATAAAATTTTTTCTTCCATCTCTGTATTTCTTCCCCTGCTCCATTTAGCCACCATCCAAAGCCCTGTCCAACATTTTAGGCAAGAGTAATCTCCAGTTTGCTGGCATGTCCATCAACCTGAACATCTCCACCAGTAGCCTCAACCTAATGACCCCTGACTGCAAACAGGTCAGTCTCCAACAATCCAAAATTAACTCATTTTGACTTTTAAACTTTATTTCACAACAATTTGTATGTGCACAAAATATTCAGTTTACAAATGAATTTGTTTTTTCTTCTGCCAGATCATTGCCAACCATCACATGCAGTCTATCTCCTTTGCATCAGGTGGAGATCCTGTAAGTATTTCCAGCATTAATTTTCAGTTTACCAACATAGATGTTTTAAAGAATATCTGCAATTTATATCTGCAATTTAGTGCAAATTACCTCACTCTGTCAAATACAACTTACCACATGATATTGACCTATTTCAATGTATTGGCAGTATATCAGTGAAATTTACCAAGTTATCATTTATTCTTGTAGGATACAACAGATTATGTTGCCTATGTAGCAAAGGACCCGGTCAACAGAAGAGGTGAGGACGCATTTCTGACATTCATAAAACGGTCTAATGTGAGCATGTTCTTTACTGCTGTAATCTGACTCTTCTCAGCATGTCACATCCTCGAATGCTCCGACGGGCTCGCTCAGGATGTTATCAGCACCATCGGCCAGGCGTTTGACCTTCGCTTCCAGCAGTACCTGCAGTGTCCCTCAAGCAAGATGTCCTCAGTCCATGACAGGTAAGAAGTTCAATATCAATGTTTGAATTGTTCTTATACAGGTCTGGAAAAATATGGCTATTTAGAAAAAAGAAAATGGATATTTGAAAGATTTTTTTTTTCCTAGTTTTTCTTAATTTTCTATTTTATAAATTTTTACAATGATTTAGATTTAATTGACCTGCTTTGTCTTTGATTTGATTTTAAAATTTCCCTTGTCAAATGGATGGATTAAATGGACAGACATTTCACTACTTTCTAGATGCTGGACTATTTCAAATAAAACTTAAGCTGAACCTGTAATAAAAGTAAAAAAGACAGTTACAAATTTTGAACAAGATCTTCTGTAAGTTGGCCCCAATAAACATTGTTTTGTGATTTGAAAGGTGAAATTGGTGTCTTCAAAAGTAATAAAACACTGAAAATATTTTTAATAAGGTTGAAATAGAAATTGTAAGCTTCATATGAATTCAGTGTTAACATTACGGTGAATAAACTTTTCTTGAGGTGAAACCATAACTTTTAAGAAACATTTGTTTGTTCAATTTCAGCATTTAGGTTCTGCTTTACATATATATTTAATGGTTTTCCATGTTTAATGCTTTTTTTTTTTTCCCCCCAGAGTATTAAACATGGAGGAGTTGGCATGGACAGAGGAAGAAGAGGAGTCAACAGGACATCCTTATTATAACAACATCCCTGGCAAAATGCCACCCCAAGGAGGCTTTATTGATTCTCGACTGACGAATCAGAACGCAGCATCTGAAGGCGGCCAGGTAGAAGATTGATATTCTAAAGCACCATAAAACAATCGTGGACGGGTTTTGTCTTAAAAAAATAAATAAATCGGCACCTCATTTAAAAAATTTGCTGAGATGGCAGTCTTTTTGTCTTTATATGCTATTGATGTGAGACTACAATGCCATTAAAAAGTAGTGTCTGTGTTTTTAGTTGACTTAAATGTTTCAGACTGTTACAGAATGTCATATCAGACAAAGATAACTTTGTTCTCAAGCTTAAGGTGACAAACTTTATCATTTTGGTGCAAAGCACAAATTACAGTTGCAATAACAGTTCTTGATGCTGAAAAATGGCTCCATCAAAATGTTTGACTGTCAGTACAATCTTTCCCCCAAAACATTGTTGTTTTATGTGACATAAGGGGACACACACCTTCTAAAACATTCCAACATTTTGTCTTGGAACGTTTCCATGTGTCATTTTGTCCTGGTCAGTTCTCAACTTCCCAATAGAAAGGGCTATTCACATTTAATGCATAATTTAACAAGGGCAAATATACATACTTCCTCTTATTAAGAACATCATTTAAAAAACAAATTCTGTATTTATCCAGGTTATTGATGATTAAAATGTATTCTGAAACATTTAGGTGTGACAATGTCCTACGATTTGTATGTGTATTTGTTGAAAAATAAATTCACTGCTTGTGCGTTTGATCAGACTGGTCCGGGCTCGGTGGATCAGACGTACTACCAGGGACGGCATTGTGAAAACTGGGCTGATGAAAGGAAAGCCATCTTCCTGCAGCAGGGTAGGAACCACCAAACACTCCAGTACAGTAAGCACATCTTTACTCCTGGACCATGTTGTCACTTTAGCAGGCTGACTTTGGCTTTGTTCCTTTCAATATTCAGGATCTTTTGATATCAGCGGTTTCCCAGAGAATAAAGGTCAGACACCTAAAGCAGTGGAGATGCCCATGTACGTGAACACCCAGCAGATTGATGCCCAGGTGCTTGCAGCTCTCCAGGCTGAAGCAGAAAATGCTACAAAGGGCATAGTAGAGGCAGGCAAAGAGAGCCCCCAGAAGGACCTGTTTGACATGAGTAAGACTTGATTAATTTCTATTTAATGTTTAGTTACCATTGGTTTTGCATAATAAAATTAGATGATTCTAACTTGGAATGCTTTGAAAAGTCAATTTTTTTCAGCCCAATATTTTTGGAAGAGATTGGTTCAATTGTGTTGATTAAAATACAAAGACCTTACAAGTTAAAAGCTCTTGTCAAAGTTCTGTAGTTTGAGCTAGTTTTCTTGCAGCTGTTTTTTTTTTAAGGCAGTCAAAAATTAAGCCCTACATATAATTTGGTAACTTATAGTTCCAAGTTACTGAATTTGTTGTGGTTTGAAGACCACAACAAATAACAGTGTTCAATATTGCCTGCCACAGTTTTGCTGATGGAATTAGACCTCTTGTCTTTATAGGTTCTGCATAGGACCATTGAGGTTTGGGCATTTTTTTGACCCATCAATGTTTCAGTGTTACTGGTGCATATTAGGTCTGAGATTTGTCTGGGCCATTGAATCACTTTATTTTACTACTTATTTGCCCTCTTTCATATTTAGCTCTCATGTCGGGTGTATAACTGAGTATTTGTCCAGAAATAATTGCTGGTAAGTCATTTGTAGTTATATGTATATGAGAACTGTTATCAGTAGCTGGTAAACCTAATTAAAGCCAAAATCATCTATGTATAAAGTTTTTTTTGCTTTATAAAACTGTGCTATTATACATGTATTGGTACTACTGTTTTAAGATGAACAGAAAACCCTTGAAATAAATGCTTTTGACATTTAAATATAATACTTATGTTAAAATTGATTAGCAAGATTTTTTTTTTTTTTTTCTCAAACTTTTGAGAATTTAGGCATCTATAACTAGCTTTTTTCCTGGTCTTATATGATATGATGGAGGTCCATTTCTCTTGCCCACACTTCAAAATGAAAGACATGTTAAGATGACATTCAGGATGGTAGATGTACATGATTCTTTAAACCCGTTTCTCTTCCAAAGGCCCTGGAAACTTTCATATAGTACATAGACAATCTGATGCATCAGGGCATTTAAATAAAATCTTGTTTTAATCTACTAGTAAAACGAAAATGCAGCCCCTTCAGCAGGATTTTGTAAAAAAGTTGGATTTAAAAAAAAATAATGCTTGTCTCAATGTGGGACTTGACTACCTCAGTGAACATACTTGAATAAAAAGTTAAGTCATGATAAATTATGCTACTGTAATAAAAGGTACATTTATTTTAAGGATTTTTAAACATCTTTACCAGGGGTGCCATTAAATGCAGAGGTTGCTGTAATTAAAATAATTACAGCAGTTCACAGCTTTACCTCTTTATGCATGTCTTATTTAATTACATCATGTCAGCAAAAAGATAAGAAGATAACCGTGTTAATGTTTTATGGCTTTATTCTTTCCTCCTTTTAACCCCCAATTTGACTTGACTACTGATTTTTATATCGTCGTATGACAAAGTATTTGTTCCCATACTGATTTCTTCTGTTTTTGCCCTTATCACTAATCAGATTTCAACAAAAGGCTAAGATAATCTGAGCAAATTGTAAAACCAAAATATAAACCACTGACCTTATGTGAAAGATATAATCACCCCCTTGTAAAATCATGAGTGAACTTTCAACACAATTTTTGGGAAGTTGAATTAAATTTCAGTCAACACGGTGGAAACTGCAAACTGTTCTGACGACAAATGGTTACAAGCCATTTCTCAGACTTTGGGACTCCAGTAAACTGCACTGAGCCATTATCTACTAATGGATATACATGGAACAGTGCTGAACCTTCCTAGATTGGTCTGCCAACTTCCCGTAAATGACGCAATGCGGAAATATTTTTACAATCTTCTGAACTTCAATTTTCTGTCGTGACTCTAACTTTTCTCTCATGCACTAGAGCCCTTTGAGGAAGCCATTCAGTCCCAGTCCCAGCCACTGGCCCCAGGGCAGTCCCAGACTCAAGTGTCCAACCTTCAGAAGGCAGCTTCTGTTGACAACTCCAGCCCTCTCCTTGTCCGATCTTTGGCTTTCCGCGCACAAGAGGAGCTGGAAGGCCAGATGTGGTACCATGGCAAAATGAGCCGCCGTGATGCTGAGAAACTGCTTAAGAGCGATGGGGACTTCCTTGTCCGCACGAGCACTACCAACCCAGGGTCCTACGTTCTGACTGGTATGCACAATGGACTCTCCAAACATTTACTGCTTGTGGACCCCGAAGGCACGGTAAGAACAGGATACAAAAGCTGGTTTTGGAGCATGAAACCAAAACTGATTCTTAACGCCTGTTTTCTTCTGTTTCAAAGGTACGGACAAAAGATCATATATTTGACAGCATTAGCCACCTTATTGGCCATCACCGTGACAACAATTTGCCAATTGTCTCAGCTGGGAGTGAACTCTGTCTCCATCAGCCTGTTGAAAGGAAATTGTGATATTTGAAATGCCTGATGGGAAGCAGAGGGCCTTTAGATGCGCTCTCCTCCTGGAACTGGAAGATGCCTGCAAAAGGCTCAATGTGCTCAACACTGACCTGCTTTACTGGAGTCACTGGAGTACTCGAGATTTGTTAAGGATTAAGGAAAACTATTTATAGAATTGCTATTTTGTTGTGATGACTGAAATGCTATATTTTTGAGAAGAAAAATCAGTGCATTTGGACTTGATACTTTGATTTGGTGTTTAAAGAAACAATAAAGCGACAAATTGTTCTTGTAGTTTAGACGCAGTGCAAATAAAACCTCAAAGAGGCAAGAATATTTTAAAAATAAACTCTAAACTAAGTTTTGTCTGTCAAGCACAACCATATTTCTACTGAACATGTTGACTCAGTGGTTGAAGAATCAGAAAAGGCTCTTTTAAATAAATTCAAATAAAAAAATAAAAATGCCCTGAAACTGACCATTAGTGTGACAGCTTGATTTATTAGTCTCCATATGAAAGCTACTTTTGTTGGAGATTGAAGCCGAATGTGTTGTCAGTGTCGGGGAGCAAACAGACACCTTTTCATCCTGCAGTCAATGGCTTTAGAGATCGGCCTTTTTTTAAAATACAATTATAAAGTATTTCCTTGTGTCACTGCAGCCGCATGACTTCAAATCAATTGTTCTCGTGTTCGTAGACCTTGAATTCCCCGTCATTTGAAAGGAGGTGCTTGTGTATGCTGACACTGTTAAAAAAAAAAAAAAAAAAAAAAATCTGTTTTTTAACCCGGGGGTTTTTTTTAAATTGGTTTTCTCTGACTTTTAGGTGTTGTCAGTGATTAGTTTTTGGTGCTTGATTCATACAGTTTAATATCCTCACATTTTAAATGAACACACTCGGCTCTTTGGGTGAACTTTTTAAAAAGGGTTTTTTTTTTTTTTTTTTTTGAATGATCACACATGAATAGCACAATCAGAGCTCTGTTTCAGTCGTACTAGATGAGTGCTCACTGTTTCAAGGTGTCATTAATGGAAATGTTGCTTTCACATCAACTAAAGCTAGAACAGATTATTCACTAGCACTTATTGAAACTACAACTGCATAGATTCAATGTGTTAATCATGACTAGGCATGGGCTGGTCAGTGTTAAGTCCATACATAGCCCTTATTTGGACCTACATATTTAGGTTTAGCTCACACAAAACTGCTAGTTGGGTCTAAAGGTGGTCTAAGCTTTCAATAAAGAAAATAAAAATCCACAAAGTCTGTAGATTGTGCTAAAATGCCAGAAGCAAATTTAAAGACTGCTTGGTTTTGTTTTAGTATGAATGAATTAAATCATTTTTACCTAATGAGATATTATGGTAAAAATGTCTTTCCAAATATTCTGTTTTTTAGATGGAGTAGAGAGGTAAAAACCATATACATACTTGTACTTCAGTTGCAGATGGTGTTTTTACATTCGAGCAGTAGAGGGAGTACATTGACAAAACTTTTTATTTTTTGTTTAGATCACCAGAAATAAAGTTCAGCTCCCTTTTAATGAAGCGTTAGGATCCTAATTTCCAACCAGAACTGCGGCACTCTCCTACAGAGGTAGCCCCTCCATTGCTGATTAAACGGAGATTACGCTGTGTTGGCAGAATATCTGAGGCATTTGATGAATTCATTTTTTGTTTCGAGGAAAAATATAATCAGTAATTACTTAGAAATGATGGTAAAACCACAGCTGGTAAACCAGAAAAGTCTTGTAAACTCATAGCTCATTTGGTAAAGATCTAGATTCCCCAAATTCAATAAGTTCATTCCACTGCTCTTTTTTTAGTCTTAGTAAAACAGGACTACACTTCTAGTAAACATATAAAAATACACAGAAAAATAGACGAACAATGGTAAGGTGTGTTAAAATACAGGGACATACAGTACTATGCTTCAATTTCTTTTACCTTTAAACTGAACGCAAGAATTATTCTGTCTGTTGCTAAAATACGCTTTAATATCTATGTATGATTAAAAATGTAGAGAAAACATCACTGTCAGTAGTTGTTCAGGCAATTATTCCCCAGAATATTATGTTTTTGCCATGTTTTATTTTGCCATAATAATGGGTTAATTTAATCAAACTTTGTAAAGGTAGCCAGCTTTCAGTCGGATTTGTTGCTTCCCAACCGTTTCTGAAAACTGCTGGAGAAACTGAAGTTATGCCTCCACTTTCTCTGGTAATGCGAGCCAGCCTATGCCTACCCATATATATACTTCAGCCACTAGGTGCCATAATGGTACCTTTTGAGTATTTGTTCATTTTCAGAGTCGTTCCATTTCAGAGTCAATGCCATCTGTAAACAATTGATCTTATAAACAGTTCAGTGTTGAGTCTTACTATTTCATGAAGAAAGAAACCCAAATTTTGATGGGGTTAGTGGAAATGATCTGCAGCTGCTCTGGAAAATGCCTGTTTTTTTCTTTCTTTTTTTCTTTTCAAATGGCTTCATTCTTACTGTTGTCAGGACTGATGGATACCAAATGAATGGGGCATTGTATTTGAAATGCACTCGACCACTTGAGTTGTACCAAAACAAGTACGTGTTCAATGAGTTTGACAAGACAGATGCAATGTAATATAATGTGCCTGTGTTTTGCTGCAAGAAGGTGTGTATAGTACAGGAACCGCACAGCAACCTGTTTGGTCATGGACCTTTGGCATACTATAAAACACTTTTACTTCTTTACATCTCTTTCTTCTGCAATGTTTGTGACTAAATTTTCCAGCAAACTTGAGAACTTGCAAAAGGGAACAATACTAAATTTTCTAAAAAAATAAAACAAAAAAAAAATCAAGCAAATTGGACAACATTTTGAAGAAAGTGAAAACGGCTTCATACTTGAATGTAACAGACTGAACCTTATTAGCTCTGCAATGTAAAGAATCTACTCGACTAAAAAAAAAATGCTTGGACACTGATGGCGTCTTTCCAGATTTCTCTTGACTGAAATGTGCCTTTAATTTGTACAAATGGTGTTTTCTTTTCTCTCCCTTCAGTGTGCAATAGCTGATCTTCAATGGGGCATGCCTGTTCACTGGAGGTTGTTTTTGCCCTGCTGCGTGTTGCTGCTTGAGACTAGTGTTCTCACTTTCTCTTGGTCTCTTTCCCTCACTATTAATATGTATTATAAATGTCATTCTTTCTGGGTTATACATTAATGACAGAGGGAGTCACAGAAAAACACTATTTCGGGACAGCTATATTTAAAAGTACGAAATAAAAACGAGTCCAAATGATGTTTACAGATGTTTAATCTTTTAGTTGTATGGGTTTGTCATTATTCTGTATGACTGTTTGGCAATAAAATTGTGAATGTGTATAATCTCTCTTGTGTTTCTTACGACTAAGATTCTTTTTCTTTGGTGTCAGATGCAGCTTTTGGCATTTTTTAAAACACATTTTCCCTAAGTAGCAGATGTGCTTTCATATAAAAACCATATCTGGCTCCTTTAGATAAGCTCATGCTGTTGAAGCATTTGTTGGTAACCAAAGAAATGCAGCAAATGCCACAAACAGGTGCCAGAAAATTCCCATCTGAATTTAATGGCCAAAGTGTAGGGTTGACCTCAGCCGGTCCAGTAAACCAGTCGGCCTTGAAGAGGCTTGGGCAGTGCTGGCACATCCACCAAGAGAAGGAAAAAGAGCTTGTTCCTAATTCTGGTTAACTTGCACCCTTTTTTCAGTCTTCTCCGTGGTCCTGATGCCCCTTCTGAGGGTACTCTTGTTCCAGACATCTGTGAGACCTCACTGGGGTGTGTGTGTGTCTCCAAACCCCTCTGTTCATTCTGGTTTTGGTTTGTTCTGGCTGATCCATGATTTCTTCCAGCTTTGCCGAGGCTCCAGGAACTGTCTGTTCCCACTGACGTCCACAAAAAGTCTTCGTCTTGTCACGAACGCCACAAACCAGAGCCAGAAAGGCCCGTCTCATCTCGCAACTGACCAGAGTGTAGATGACCTGTTCTCTGGAAATGCACTGTTAATAATATTGGTCTTTCTTTATATTCTAAATATCTGCCTGCAATTTTAATGATCCCATTTGAACGTATTTGGTTTCTTTCAGGACTTGACAAGAAGGCAAAACCAGCACAGTTAGTACATTCAGTAACTGTGCTGGTCTCAATTACAGATGCTTAAGTTGTGTAAACATTAGTCACCAAAGTGAAACTTCTGTGC